CCCTTTTTTCTGCTTCAATTTTTTTTTTCATTTTTTTAGAATTTCCTGGAAATAACTTTAAATTTAATAATTTGTATTATTATATAAATTTAGGCAATTTTATTTTTAACATTAAAATAATAATAGTTTATCTATTGCACTAACTGGCATCCACGTTTATCCGTGACGCGTGCTACTTTCTAACACGGAGGTGAAATGATGATACATACTTTTTCCTTTTTTCTTTAATTTTTATATTTTTTCAGTAAAAATAAAAATTATTAGAATAAAAAATTAACATATTTTTAATTTAATCAATCAAATTATTTTATTATTACCTTTGTAATACTTTAACTCATAAAAAATGTTTTAATATATTTTCTTTTTAATTTAAAGAAAGTATATACAGTAATTAATTAAGAATTTAATATCTTATAATTTAATTTTATCAAAAAATAATTTCGAGGAGTTTCTGATATTTTAATAATAGCTCAAATCTACGAGAAATACAGAGGGAGCGACACTAATGGCTCCGTTGCAAACGTGGAAGCGATAGGACGGTAAGGACGACCAATTGTTTCCTTTACTAAATTTTTCTATAAAATCAATAAACGTTATTGAATGAAAATAATGAAGCGCGAAACAAAGTAAAACGCAGAAATAAGAAGATAAGAAAGTAAAAGCGAAGTTTAGATAAAGAAAAAGAGGCAAAAATTACATTTATCCAATATAAGAAGGAATCGATAATGTCGGATGATCTATTTATACAAAGAAATAAATAATTATAATATCTTTGTTAAAGTTACGGTAAAGGAAAGAATAAAATGTTGATCTTAATTAAGCGAGGGAAAAAAGGAAATTGTTATATCTTGTGTTCAATATATTTTCATTTAAGATTGGTCTCTGGCTTTAATGTAATCAACTTGTGTCTTATTTTTCCATCAAGCTATCGGCTCGATCTTATAATGAAGTTGCTAGAAAATACATAAAAACTTGGCTTTTTTCTTTTATCGATTGACAAAAACGAAATTTTCATTTAGAAAATTGGAAACGTAAATGTTAAGTTCTGTTTTATTATACAGGAAACTTGGATTTATTGACGGTGGAACCTGTCCTAAACGGGAAATACAGTATATTCGGTGCCCGCGAGTCCAGTTTACACAGGTTTTATTGTATATTTTTTCGTTATAGTTTTTAATTTTATGTATTTGTTTTCTTTGAATCTTTGGTTATCCGGGCGACCATTTTTCAGAAATTTTTTAAACAAAAGTGCATAGAAAATAACTTCCGAACAATGACTACTTTTTGTGTTGTCGGAGGTTCGACTGAATTTTATTTCTAGGCTGTCGTTTTCACATTGAGAATCTATACATTGTCGTTAAAATTCGCAACAGTATTAGACCGATGAAAATCGAGACCAGATATGGAGAGCTTAGATTAATTACGTACGAGCTTCCGGTCTAGACGCCAAGTCACGTGATTTTTAAAATTAAAACACCAGTAGAAATTGCAGCCGGGCATTATGACGACGCCACAATAATTTTTTATATATTTTAATATTTAATATTATAATATNCAGAGGTGCCTTATTTCCCCAAAGATTCTACGAATTACGAAATGCCTTCAGTGTGCTAAGAAATCCTTTTAGGAGGTTAAGGATCACGAAAAATATCCCCAAAATTTGAGCATTTATATCAAATTATTTTACAAATATTTTACATTATTTAAAAATTTTCTCCGTCTCTTCATCGTAAGAAAAACCTCGATTCCAATGATGCTAATGAGAAAAAATTGATTTAAAAATATTTTATATTTAAATATTAAATTATAATATTTTTTTCTGATCCTAATTATAATTTTTAAAATATTTTTGATGTTTTTCCACGAATATAAACCTCTAGAAAAAATAAATAAATAAAGAACGAATGTAGCCTATACATATAAAAGCAATACAGTAATCTATTTATATGTATACTTGGAGAGTTTGTTGCTGTGTCACTTTCTCGAGCAGAAAATCGATTAGGTGGAAAAACATTTCCTATTTTTTATTTTTTTTCCTTCCTATACACATAATTTATTCGTTAAATCCTCATTAAAAATTTCTGAAATTTTAATTTAAATAATTAAAAATGTGCGGGGAAATAAAACTATCAAACAATGAAAGTGCGTAGATAAAACTTTAATTCGCTTGAAAAAATTATTTTTAATTACGTATCCTGCGCAGTTTTCTAGGAGAAATAATGTAAACATTAAGAAGAAAGTTTAAAAATTGTAAATATACAGTAAAACCTGTCCAAAACGAAAGAAATTCTTCGGAACGGAGCGTTTTTCAATGTTAAAAAAACCCCTTCAGAACGGAGAAAATATTCGGTGCCGTGCGAATCCGGCTTACGTAGGTTTTACTGTACATCGATATATAGATGTGGAAATGAGGTGTTACTCTCCCTTATTTACAGTTTTATTCTAGTCACTTGACTCGCCTTTTTACACGTGAATTACGTGCGAATCGATCTCCCTCGCTTCTTCATCTTCTCTATGGCCAATTTTGTACATACAGGAAAAACTGCGTAAACCGAAATCGCAGGTAGCAAATATTTTTCCGGTTTGGCAGATTTCCGTTTTAACAGGTTTTCTTTTAAGGTAGAAAATCGCTCCGTTCTGAAGAATTTCTTCCGTTTAGGCAGGTTTCCGTTTTGGATTAATTCCGTTATAATTATTAATTAGAAGAGTGCCGAAGTGTGTTTTAAAAATATTTTCTATGTATTACATCAAACTCATCACAGAGATTTTTCTCTATTATTATCTGGAATCACAAAGGATTTCCCTTTGTCGTCATCACTAATCGATATTCATAAATATAAATTAAATTAGATAATGTACTTCCGCATATTTGGAAGATAATTGTAGATAAAAGCCAATTTTTTAAATAAAAAAAAGCATTTTTTTTGTAAGCAATAATAAGATGTCGCCACTTTACAAATGAAAAGATGAAGAGGAAACGACATCGGGACTCTTAGAGGACAACGCAGCGGTGACTTCAAGGACAATGTCGAGTGTCACAGACATATTGAAAAGTAGTTGAAGGTAAATGACATAAAAAGTAATCTGTAGAAAAATGCAATATCTTCTAACAAAGAATCTAGAATTTAAAATAATCTAGAAAGGCTCTAGAATTACCATCAGGCTCTAAGATTGGATATTATAAGTTGCTCGCTGCTCCTTGCTAATCTTTAAAATTAATAGTTTTATTTGTACTTAACTAAATTTCCGTTTTAAGCAGGTTTTACAGTATATTTTTTATTAATTTATAGCTAATAATAAATATATTTTAAGTAAGAAATTTGATTGTTAAACACGCTTAGGTAAATTACTTCACAAAATTAAACACGTAATTTCGCATACTCATTAAGAATTTAAGGGATTTTTTTTTGTGTGTGTGTTTTATGTTAGAAATTACTATTTTAAATACGTAAATAAAGTTGAAAAAGGTCAAATTTAGCTGAAGAGGAAGATGAACTTTATAAAAAATGTCATTTCGCTAGTGATACAACCAATTGAAATTCCAATTTACTTCGAATTTTTCAAGAGGTAAGACGTGCAGAAACTGTAAATAGTTGGTACGTCTATAAAAAGAATTGGATTTTTAATAATATTATATAAACTATGTTTATATAATTTTATTAAAATCGTATATAATAATATTTTCTTTGTGCTCTTCGAATTATAAATAAAATCGCTCTGATAACATTTCATGCATTTTAACGAGTGAAATATTTATAAATTAGAAAAATCCTTATTGAAGTGGATATTAACTTTCAATTTTTGATAAATTATATTTCTAAATCTACAAAGTATTTGATCCTTAGATAACTTTAAGAGTTTCATCGTAACATACAAGTAATTAGTTGTTAAGTTTTCGTGCATCTGTGCCCCTAGATCGAAGAACTCTGCTCGTAAAAATGGACTCCTCGGAGACCCATTGTGATTTAAGAATTCTTTGAAGCTCTATCATTTTTACAGATCTTTGAGGTTTTTCAAAATTTAAAAGCTTATTGAAATGTTTTGATTTGGGTTTAACTGAAAGAACCATTCAGGATATTTGATAAGCTCTTTGCAAGAGCGAAGAATTCCACAAATTTCAGGAAGAAGGAACCCTCCAAAAGAACTTTGCTCTTTGAAATTCCTTAAAGGATTCAAATCTAAAGAGAAGAATTCCTCAAATCTAGTGTGGTTTGAGTTCTTTGAGAAGCTCTTTGCAAGAACAAAAAATTCCTCAAAAAGAACTCTTCTCTTTAGTTTTGAATCCTTTAAGGAATTTCGGTGAAATTTGAGAATTCTTATAATTTAGGAATCCCGCGGAGGCCATCTTTACGATATAAGACAAAGATAATCTTTAATCCAAGAGAATAATTTAAGAATCCTTTGCTCTATCCAAAAGAACTACGAAATGTAAATTCTCAGAAGCAATTTAGAATTTATCAGAGATTTACCACAAAATGTTCATTATTTCTAGAAAAAATAACATAAATTCAAAATTTTTAGCTCCTTTAGAAGTTTTCCTGGCATTAAGATCTAATCGAAACCGATTTTGGCATTTGCAATTAATGAATTTTGAACTCCGATGAAAAGAAGTAATTCAAGGGCAGGATTTATAGGTAAGAAATTAATGTCATAGCTTCTGCCAGTTTAATAAATCAATAATATTGCTTTTTTATTTAAAAAAAGCATAAATTCTTCAAGTTACTACAAGAAATAAAAATCAGTTTTTAAGCTGAAGAACCTCAAGAAATGTTTATACAATTGAATTTCACGAGTCCACGAGAGTTGAAAAATGAGTCCATTATTCAATTTTTTAGAACAACAATAATAATTATTATTTATTAAGTAATTTAAATATTTAATTCTATAATTATTTTATTAATTTTATAAAATAAAATAAAAATATTTCGTATTTTTAAATGGTTTCAAAAGATGGCGCCATATATTTTCTGCTTTAAAAAATTTGATTCTATGGAAGATGAACTTTCAAGTCAACATTTTGATTATAAATTATGGAGATTGCATTAAATTAATTAATTTTTCTAGAAAAGTAGCGCTTAACAAATCAATGATGTGGTCAAAATTTCCCATACTTTCGATAATAAGCTCATTAATTACTGGAGTACCCCCCGATAAGATCACGTTATTTAAAGGCATTCTAATTAAGTAAATTAGTGTTTTAAATTATTTATTCTTTTATTAATTTATATGTTTTCTTATCTTCCAGATACGATTTTTATTAGTCTCTCGGGATTAATAAATTTCTCATTTCTTGGCTGCAGTGTAACTGAATAGATTCTTTAACAGATGGTAATCATTGACTAAGTCGAGTTTTTATAGGAAAAATATTTAAAAACTTGAAGAAATAAAATTATAATTTGCAAATAAAATATGTTTTAAACATTTTTAAATTTTTCGGGCGTTTTTAACACTAAAGCACTCACCTGACTGCCAAAATGTCTTCAATTCCATCAAATTCCTCGAGTTGACTTACAGATATTTTATTATTATAGAAGTTTTTAACGTATTGTAGACCGTGACAACAACAGGAATCGGTTGTAATATCTTCGTGGCAAATACAATCACATTCTTCTGCACTGGAACACAATTAAATTGGCCATTTAGAAAAAATAAAATACACTGCCATCACCCGTAATTACATTATAACGGCGGCACATTTAAATATTTAATTCGCTTTCTGCTTTAAAAATAATTTTCTAACGGAAAATGTCAACGTTAAAACAATCCCCATAGTAATGCCATCCACATGCTTGACATTAATGACATCACCCTAAGACACACTTCAACTCCTGGCTTTGACGCCCCTGTAAGAAAATTCGGTTAACTTGACAGATTGTTATTTAGTTTCGGCATAAAATATAAGAAAATATCTTTGGCTCTATAAGTAGTGACTAAATAACGTGTACACACGGGATATTTAGTGTACTACTCACAAACAGAGTTTATTGTGTGATTATATCTATGTTTTATTCTGTCTTTACGAGTGTTAGAGACTCTGCGGGGATCTGCTGTGTGATTATATGCAACTTATACAACATAGTAGTCACACGCAGTATTTACGTAACTAGCCAATATCTACGTGAAAATACTGCACGTGATTGTAAGAAACTACTGGGAATGAGTAAATTAATGTACGACTATAACTATGAAAGACCATTATTCACGAACGAGGCAATTTCATCCGATTACATCTATGTAAAATCACGGGATATAAGAATATTATAAGAGATTAGTAGGGACGATTACGACACATTTAACACATACAGACATAAATTTAACAATTACAAAGCTTACGTAAAAGCCAACTAATTTTATTATGCTGTTATATTCGGCCACATTACGTGGCTCCAGCCGCGATTGGTATACGGACTTACATACAGACAGACTCGACAAAGTCTGCAATTCATCATTAGTTTCGCTATAAGAAGCGATTGCTAGCTTACCATTCATGCGAATCCTTCCGTGATGAACGTCACGCAACTACATACCCCACTACCTTATTCTCTATATTAGAGCAATGGGTGGTTGTCATTTGTTAGCAGTCTTTACAGAAAAGAGGACAAAAACGTTTTTGTCATCTAAAAAAAATCCGAATTTTTCCGCCAGGCTCTTTACTAAAATGTCGACCTAAAATACAACAATAAATTTCATATAATTTTTAAGTTCATATCCGTTGTATTAAGGTTAAAACCAATGCCAAATCAGGTAAATTGGGTCAGAAAATATTCCACCCTCCCGAAAATGACGCAAAAGTGAAACGTTCGAGCATAAAACGTACACGTTTAATTAATTTAAGATTGTATTTTGAGCGTTTCTTTAAATAAAAACTTGAAAAATGTCTAAAAAGAATCATTTTGTGGTAGTAAAGAGCCTGTTTTTTCAGATTTAAATATATTAAATTAGTTGGTGCTGTTCCAGGAGATAAGAACCAACGACTATTCTGTGTCAACTTAATGGGATATTCGACTGGCCATTTTTATGGGTGTGGTGGGTTTAGTCGAGTGTTTTTTATTTGGAATCGTAAACGTGATCAATGGCATCGAATTTATCAGAAAAAAATCATAATTACTTTAACTTATATCTAATAAATTCCATGTTTTATAACTCTTGTGTGTCGTCGAATTACTAACGAATACTTCTTTCTTTAAAAAAATTCACTGTATATTAAACATATTAATGTGACAAATATTGCATTTTTTTAGATTTCGTAGCCAAAATTTTAGTAGAATCCTTTCTTTTTTATTATTATTATTTTGTAAAATGTGTTTTTAGAATGTATAAAAAAATCCTCATTTTTAGACACAAAAAATTAGGATTTTTTAATTAAAAATCTAAATTTTCCTTTTATTAATTTTCTACGTAATAATTTGGATTCTTTTTCCAAATAAAAGTCGAATTCTTTGCATAAAAGTTGGAATTTTAATCTAAAATTGAACTTTTTTAAACTTTTTCGAACAAAAATTGAATCGCATGCTTAAAACTTGGCTAATTTTTGTGTTATTTTTGGATTAAAAGGAGGATTTTTAAAAATATTTTTTCCTTCATTTTATGAGATTTTTAAAGAAAAACTTTACATAAAATTAATATGAAGTTTAAATTTGTTTTTATTGATACAAAATTTATATAAGAAAAAACTCTGACATTTTAAAATTTTTTTTGAAGATTTAAAACATTAAAAAACTTTTTGACACTTGAAAAAAAATCGCATTTTGTGAGATAAAACAGAAAACAAACGTCCCTTTTGTAAATGGGAGTGGGCAGAATAAAATAGACGATTGAATGGGATTTCTAACTTTTAAATCTTAAACTCCAGGGGAAAAAAACGTGATTTTTGAACAAAAATTTGAAGTTTTAACTACTTTAAGTAACAATTATTAGAAAAATTTGTTTATTTTTAAGCTTTAAATAAGTAAAAATATTTTTTCTCTATAAAATTTTATAATTAAAAGGATAAAATAATCATGGAAATTAAATGACCATCTGACATATAAAACAAATTGATATTTTACATACCAGATGGCTATTGAAAAATTTCCCAAAAAATTTCCAAAAGAATACTTTTTATTCCTCTCAAAATGTTTTAAATATAAATTTATTTATTTTAAATCTTTTTAATATTTAAATTTAAAAAAAGTACTTACATAGTTAAGAAATTGGACGAAGCAACCATTGGCACCCAATGAGGATGTGTTGTCATGGCGACACAAGAATCCCCCACCAGAACGAACCATGTAAACAGTTCAATGTTGGGTCTCACGTGCCAATCACTGTATACAATTACTACCCTCCCAAATCCGACTAGGACCCGCCGATGACGTCATTTAAAGGAACCAATAGCGCACGGTAACGTCATTGGGGGTGATAGTGATCTGGAAGATATCTGTTGACATAACATCTTATCATGTTGACCAGAACTCAGTTTAGAATTTCCAATTTGCAGCTAGAAAAATATTTAAAAAGAAAAGCTCCAATTTAATGCTTGCAGTTGAAAGAATTCATATTTTTCCAATTTTTTGCATCTATAAATAAATATATATTTACAAATTAATTTTTTTAAATACAAAATCCATTTTTGTAGCATTTAAATATCGTTTTAAATGTTTATTTTGGAATTTTTGAGTACTTTTTTGGATATTTTTCGGTAATAAATTGTACGCTACTTATAATACAAGCGAATTAAATAGTGGTAACAGCAATTCTATAATTTTCAAAATTAATTCCTTTAAAAAATTTTGTTAACCAATTTTTTATAAAAACAAATCTATATTAATTAATTGTTTTCTTAGAAAATAAAATTATAAGCTAATATGTTGATTTTGCTAGAAACTGGGACTGTATTCGTAGTTAATATATGGTTTTCTTAGTAGAATAATCATTTCTACAGTTAATTTATAACTTTTTTAGCAGTTGGAAGTATATCTATGGCTAAAATATCTATATATAAAGTGCAAATATGGTATGGAGGTTTTTTAGAAGCTACAACCTTATTTATACTTTGTGTACAGGATCATACTTATAGTAAATACATGGATTTTTTAAAGGTAAAATCATATTTAAAGTTAATGTATAGATTCTTTTACAAGGTAATATATTAACTCCGAGAATGGTTTTATTACATTAAACATATAAAAATTTATAATCTAAGTTAATATATTACTTTTGCTGGAAGGAAGGATTTATTCATAAATAATATGTAGTTTTTCATAGTAGAATAATCATTTCTACAATTAATGTATAGGTTTTTTAGAAACTACAAGTATATCCACGAAGTTGTACAGATTATTTTACAAGTTTGAAGTATATCAGTGGCTAGCGTATGGGTTTTTTAGAGAGTAAAACCATATTCTATCATAAATTATGATTAGAAAAGTGTTCGTTTAGAAAATAAAATCGTATTGGTTTGTAAATATAAGTGAAGTCATTTATATTTATTCTAACCATGTATAAAAGAGGAATTTTATCAATAAAATTATAATTTTTATTATAAATTTACTACAGAGTTTAAAAAGAATTTTTTTAGCATCAGTTATCCGGTACTTTATATGAATGGCAGCGTTAAAGTATCTTTGGAATTTACGCCCTTAGCTGCGAGCCATGTCCATATCTGTTCATTAAAGTTATCAAAAAACTGGTAAGATAAAAGGGGGTAAGAATTTTCTATTATAAAATTATTCTCCCTAAAAAATGGAGAGAAAATTCATTTTCGATACGAAATAGGCGATGTAAGTAATGCCGACGAGTGTGGATGCTGCAGTTTTTACAAGTAATTTTTAAACACGATTCTGAGAAATTGAATCATTTACAAATTTAGAAAATAAAGAAGAGGGGAAAAAGTGAATTTCCTTTTTTTAGATTCTCTAATCGAATTTACATTGAAAAATAATATCTGGAGCAAATTAGATTTTAATGGTAAACAGATGCACCCTTATAAGAGGCAAAATTGTCAATATATTTCTCGAAATTTGATATTATTTAATGAAAATTTTATGCATTTTTCTTAATTATATTTAACTAATCGTTACGCTAATTGTAATTATGTAGTGGAGATAACGTACGAGATGAATTTTTTCTCGTAAAGTCGTGGCGTAATGACGTTCGAAACTTAGCTTCCTTCCGCCTTTTAAAACAATTACATAACATTTTAAATGCCATTTATACGTAATTTAAGCACGTTTTAATGCTTAACTTAACCATATTCCCTGTCTTAAACTTAGTTAAATCTATATAAAATCAATGGTCTTTATATACGGTACACCAGATAAGACTCACCTGTTGGTGCTTTTAAGTGAAAATGGTGAGAAAATTTGCAGAAAATATCCGACACATTATTTTTACACGCATTATCCAATTAATTATATTGTTTTATAAGTAATTTTGCCAGTCATTGTCCCATTGGTTTCAACATGGCCGATAGTCGAAGTGAAAGTTTTGCCATTCTAAGTACACTCGCAGGTTAGGTTCTACGGTTCAAAAACTGGTCGTTAGCTTTCCCCTTCGCCAACCCCCCGACTAACCAGCCAGGAAACTAGACTGCAAGGTAGTACATGTGCAAGCTCGCACACAGCCTTCGAGGTTCTGCCGATCTAGACAAAGAAAACACCATCTGTTAGTTCACCTGTGGAATGTGGTTGTATTAACTCCACTAAAATTCGTCTTCATCGCTACTCTTTACTTATTTATTTTGAAGATTATTCTAATTATTAAACTCGCCATTTAATTTATTATTTTTTAAAATAATTTCTATTTAATTATTAATTTATTATTATTATTTTTAATTTAATAATTAAATCGATGGCGAAAACCTTCTGGGATACGGTACGTGTTTACGCTTTATAGTATTTAAATTTATTTATTTTCTGTTCATTCAATTTTTTTATCAAGTTGTAATAAAGAAAAGTTTGTAAATTTATTTATCTTTTACATCGAATTACGCTTTCGTGGATAATTTATTATAATTTAATTAATTAATATCAAAGTTAAATGTCATTATTAATTTCAAAAAATTTTGCGTTATTTTCACGGAACGTCCATTTTTTTGTAAAATATTTGTAATAATTTAATTTATGATACGCTTTAAACTATAAATTTTTTATTAATTAAATACCGGAGTGTTTTTTGAATAAAAATAACTTAAAATGATGATGGGAAATTGATTTTTGTTTTATATCTTAACGAGGAAGAAGAAGAGTAACGTGACACTAAGGGCAGTTGAAGTTATTTATTTATTTGTTCTACTCCGGAAATGTCATTTTTTGACTAATTTATTGACAATCAATTATTTATTTAGTTAGAAATCTCGTTTATAAGTTTAAAAACTGGGAAAAATGTATTTTGAAATCGATAGGTTTGTCAAGTTTAGTTAAATATCGATGATTAACTTAATTTTAAGTACGTTTCAAAAGTCTTCTATCAATACTTTTCTTATATAAATTAAGATAAATAGGAAGACGAAAACATTATTATTTTGCATCTTTATGGATTTCAGTTATAATTAACTTATTGGTTTTTAGCGTTTTTCCACGTTTCTCTTTACTCTTCCGCATCTATTTTTTCATCGCGATTCATACAAGTACAGTAGAAGTGTTTTAAATAGTAATACCGCCTTTCAATATCATCATCGTCGGCTGTAAATATTCACTACGGCGTATAAACCTCTCCTTTCTTTTGCCAATCTCGTCCATTGTTTTTCAAGTTTTCCATCGAGATCATTCCGTCGTGTTTCTGCTCTTCTTCTTTCCTTCTTCCGTTCTCTTACAATCCATTCAGTTACTCTCTTTGTCTACTGTTATCCTTTATTTCTTCAACGTGTTCCGCTCATCTTCATTTGTTCTTCCTTATTTTTATCACGATATCTTTAACTCTCGTCTTCTCTTATCCTTTCATTACTTTTCTCCTAATAAATTACTTCAATTTTATTAAATAGATTTTGGGCTTATCAGAATTTAGTTCAAACTTCTTTGCTTTATGAATTTTATAGGATAGACTACGTTCTTTCAAAGTATTTCACACGGTGGATTTCTTGAAATCTTTCCATCCCGCGGTGCTTCTAGTATGTTGCATTTGATTAATTATACAATAACACGGTATTTGTGCTCAAAAATACATTATAGAATTAATTAAAATAAATTTCGTGGAGGAAAATAGACTTTTCCACGAATATATTTGGATTTTCTTTCATTTCTTGCCTACCAGAGGATGAATAAAACCACCGAACGCGTGGATTCGCGCTCGATTAACGTGGCGTTTTCGGGATTTTCTTCGCCTGTCTAAAACCTAAATGTGGGCTACTTTTTATAGAAAGTGCTCCCGAGAAGTACCCTTCTCTTCGCCCGTAATGGGATGAAGCAACGCCTTGCAATGCCTTATTCTAAAGGCGCAAGATAGACGATGCGTGCCCCAAAAGACCAATAAAAGGTATTTTTTTTATTGCGTTTTCATACTAGAAATGCGAATTTTCCTAAATTTCTGCGCTAGTATACACGCGTGCACCGACGTATGGAATTTCACAAAATTATGCCGAATCGGGCGAATCCTGACGAAAATTTTTGGGCACGCCGAAAGTTATAATAAGAATAATAGGCCTATCTTTAGCAGTAAACGATAGGCAGAAACGTTATTTGGCGTGAATAAAAAAATATGGACTATTATAAAGCCCATTATATCTACGCACGAAATATACGAAATATATTATAATGAAAAAGTATTAAAAATTTATGACAGTAATTCAATTTTTGAGGGCTCTCGACACTGGGGGCCCGGGGCTTAAGCCCTATCAGTCCCTACGTAGATCCGCCCCTGTACGCAATACACGTATGCTGACTGGGTACCGCGAGCTTTCGATACAATCTAGCCGCGTTAAATGCTTCCAATGACGTCGTGAGCGCGCACTTGTTTGCCGCGAAAAACTTTCACACCAGCCAGCGAGCGTGGCGCCGACTTAAAACGGCTAGCCGCTAACTGCCGATGTAAAAGCAAACACCAATGATAAAAGAGTTTACCCGTTAGAATAAATTATTATTGGCATAATTGTTCTCGTATAAAAATATATCGACAGTCGAAACTTTCTCTTACGCGCGGCGCAGACTAAGAGAGACCAGAGAATTCGGTAGAGTTGTAGCGCAACGGTAACACCGCTTACAAGATCGATCCCGCGCTGTAGTCCACGCGATTTGCGACACCTATTTTTAAAACGGGCCTTTTTTATTCTAAGGCAATAAGAGAGCCTTTTTAGCTTCCAGCTCATTACGGACCCAAAATGGGGCGTTCGGGCGGTGAGGGACGGGCCCAACATAGGTGAATTTGCGACTTTACGTATAGGCGTAGATAAGTCTCCCCCCGCGCCCGCGTGGATAAAACCACCGAACACCGGAAGTCGGTGGTGGGTTGGCGCCTGGCCAACGTGCTGCCTATATGAGTTTTCTTCGCGTTTGTAATTCTTAAATAGGGATCAGTTTACCATAGAAAGTCACACAAAACAAACAAAAGTAGATATTGCGCGTGTACCAGCATTTTACCATTATTTTTTCTCGTTCGTTATTATCGAAATCAAAACGTTTTCTTCCGGTTTACGTCCCAATCCACTACCACTGCACTATTCCATCAAACCATCACAAGTACAGACTGTTTCGTATATTTCGGCCTCGATTGGTGCTCTGAAAGTTTGGTAAATTTCGTGAGCCATCACGGAACGTAGAGTTACTTGGTAGAAAATGACATCAAACTATCTTATTCGTTGCCGATTGGCCGCGATATAGACGCTTATTTTCTCTAGACCGCTCACGCGCATTGCTAATAAATCGCTACGCAACTTTAATCAGACATTACGAACATAATGGCAAATCTTTAAAAATGTTCTTAATATTCGGGTTAAATTTTTTTAAAAAATTATCGTTAAACTTCACGACTTTTCACGCGTTACGAGCGTATTAAATTTTATAAAATATAACGCGACGCCATTAATAAAAACAATAGTGGAACGGGCTTTTTCGGTAATTGTTAACGAACCGACAATACAAATGCAGTCGTTCTCTGTTGGAACGAAGAGCCATTGTCAGATTTTTTCAACTTTTCGAGAAAAGTACCGAAATTTTGCCTGATTTTACAAAAAGTAATACAAAAAGAAGATATAAAATAAGAGAATAAATACGAAACGAAAGAGAGAAACGAAGAAGAAATATTTCGGCAACGAAAAACAAACGAAAGTATATTTAGGAAATTAACGCCAACAAACCGACAACAAATTACTGCGGTAGGAAGCCATTTCAAATGTTTTGTCTTGTATCGGCTAGTTGTGCGCCAGCTTCTAGGCTATATCTCACCGTGATAAAGTGCGACGTAATAGTTACGTAATAGTAGTTATACGCGTTTATCATGGTCGTTACGCGAAGAGTATTTTCTTCCGGGAGGTATTTTAAGGGTAACTGACCCCTATTCGAGCGTTACAGACGTGGAGAAAACCCGGAAAACTCCGTCCGGGCCCACGACCCAGCTCCGTGTTCGGGGAACGGAATCGCTCGGCCACTGGTGGGCTCGTTTCAAACGAATTCGTACTTCGCATTCACTTCCTCGTGGTGCGTTCTGCATTGTTTAAAAAAATAATTTACAAACGACGAGCGAAGAGCCGAGTATTAAATTTTGAATATTCTTCGTGAATAAATTCAACAATTAATATATTTAATTGTCGATTTTAATTTACATATCTTTTTAAACGTTTAAACTCTTTCCGCCCCGTGGGCACTAAGAAGGCCTCTTTTAGCCAGCCCATTACGGGTTTGGCCAGATCCACAATGGTACGGCCGGGTGGTGAGGGACGGGGGCCGACAAATCCGTACGGATCCCGGGTTCCCCGTCTCGACTGCTCGGCCATCCGGCCGTCCAGTTACACATTATTACATATAAAATAGGTTATGCAATATTTAATTGTACAATACCAAATTTTCAAACTAATATTCGAGTCTAAGAGTACACTAATGACTATTAACTCTGTTTTATAATATAATTTATCTAAAGTAACAATAAATAATTACTAAGAGGTCATATTACGTCATAAATATTGTCACTTAGAATTTGGGAAATGCTAAAGAATTACAATTAATTAAAATACAGTACTTATAAATAGGCTTACCGTACGTCCCGCTTTGACCGGGACTGTCCCGGTCGTTCGGTAAGATTTTAAAAGTGCCGAATGTACGAGAAGTAAAATTAGCGCAGCCTGGGATAAAATGGCGATTTGGCAACTAAACTATTACCTCTGTAACACTCGTGTTGCCAATCTAAATATTTCGTATCTAAATTTGAGTACTTTTAATGTTCAGATGTTTTCCCCCAAAATTTATAGCTTGTGGCCGATTGAATTTAGAAGTTTTATTTTTTCATCCAGATATTTTTTCGCAGAATTTATATTAGCCTTTGAGATTCAAATATTTTTATTTCATTCTTTAGATATTGTTCCAATTAGAGTTGGCAACATTGAAACTTACGCTTTAACGTCGGTGTTGCGCATTTCCTATCTTAGTTCGATTCAAATTGGTAGTCGGCATTTCCGATTATTTTGTACTTTACATTAAATTAATTTAATCTCCAAAATGCCAGAAAGAAACTCATGAATTAAAAAGGATTATCCAGTTTTGAAGAAACATAAGGCAAGCCTAGTAGCGGCGGAAGGAACTTCCTCAAATGTGTTGTCATAGTTTAAAGGTATTTTCTCAAAATTGTTCCGGTTTGAGGAAAAAATATTATGGTAAGCCTATTTATAAATCTTAAAATTTTATTCGTGTTCGTACGATTAGTTATTTATCTCGATTCCGGGATGCCGCGAAATTTAGTGCTAAGCAGCGCCATAATACTTCCGTGTGTATTACTAAAAGTACGAAAACGCAATAATTCAAACGAAAAAGTAGGGGTGTTGCGAGAAATTACCGCGTGGGGGTGCCGCTGTTTGAAAAAGTTTGAAAAACACTGGATTATTAAATGGTTTTCTTATAATTTTATAGTTAATTGAAATTGAAACAGACTTTGAATACGGCTAAAGATACGATACACGTATGAAATTACAGTCGACCCCCCTGTAACCCGGGTTCCTATAGTNAGGCTTGGGGATTTCTGCAATTGCAATGCTATTAATTACTTACGAAAAATCCTGAAGAAGAGAGAAAAGCAATAGACATTAGACAGATTCTTTAACCCTTTCAAACAGAAAAAAAAACACGACTAATAAAAACGCAAGACTATGTATGTATGTATTTTCATTATCATCAACACATATAAATAAAGGTAGTAAGAAAGTATATATTTTTTTATTTTGGGGGATCTCCAGAACCAATTAATCAAATTCCCATAGAAACCTATGGTAAATCGATAATCGGTTAACGAACAATTCGGATAGCGAACAAAGTCTTGGAACGGATTATGTTCGTTAACCGATCACCCACTGTACTGTATGTACTGTATACTGTATATCGTATATTACTAAATATACCGCATATAATAAAATGAACATTGCCAAAATAAAAAATATTAATAATTGAAATATCGAATTTACATTCATTGGTATAGTCAATTCAAAATCCGTTCAAATTAAAAAAATACGGGGAGATTCAAAAAGCGTGTGGAATTTTAATGAGAAGACTTACAGAATGGGTTGAGGCGTCAGCTTGTGTGCATGCACGTCCATAGAGGGGAGCAAACGTGGCACTCGACTTCACCCGTAGAATAGAGTAAAAATTCCACAAATAATAATCGTAAAAGTGATTGAGATAGGTAACATTACACCCTCGACCACGGAACACTTTGTTTTTTGGATTTTGTCTGTTGTTGCTTTATTGTATTGATGCAATACTGTAATATATTCTACAATCTAATTGTGAAAACACCCCACGAAATTTCGTTATTTCTTTGGTAACATTTACAATCGAAATGCGTTATTGCTGTTAATGTCCGCAGGAATTGCCACTGCTAGCGGCAGTTAAGTTAATGTAACACGGGAGAGTGAAAGCATCTGGTTTAAAGATGTCGTTAAGTGCCGAATAACTAGAAATAACTCCTGCAACAATTCCAATAAGCATCACTTCTATTAAATATACTCTTTCGTGCAGTGAGATGGTCCTAGAAGGAGTAATTTATTTATATTAATTTTTAAATAAATTCTTAATTGTGGGTGTGGGGGAGACAAAGCTTGCGGTAAATAATTACAGTACTATATTTATATTTAATTACTTCACAAATAGATCATGGAATACAATATTGCATCCAAGCATCCAGGGTGTAAGGAATCTAAAAAAACACTTGTACTATTATAATTTGTGGAATTTTTTACTTGATCCCAGGGTGGGGCGATTACCCCGTTCCACCTCTGCAGACCCTCGTGCTCTTAATTAAGCTGCATTTTATCACGTTAATCTTAATGGCACTCGGTAATGTTTAATGTAACTTTACGTATATCAGTTTCGTGGTCTTCGTAAAGCGTTCGTGACAGATGTTCGTAATAAAGTGACACAATGTAATGCGTCAAATTATAAAGTATTTTAATTACAATTACCTGTAATTATCTCGTTATCATCGTAAGAAATTGTTTAGTGAAAAAAAATTAAAATTTATTTACATAAAAATACAAAAAAAAACCAAAGGATTTCTAAAGATTTGAAGACCTGTAAGAAGAATTGAAAACAAGTCTTCCATTTCATCCCGTAAATAAATTTTATAAAAGTATAATATCAAACTTCCACAAGCAAAAGAAATTTATATAATTAAAAGCGGAAGTGTGATGATATTTTGTATTTAAATTAGAAACAGAGTAAATAAAACAAGAATTAAGCGTCAAGAGTGTCAAATTAGAAGCTTCTGTTACCTTATTTATATAATAAATACAAGATTTATATTTTAAATACAGTGGGTGATCGGTTAACGAACAGATCGCATAACGAACAAATCGGATAACGAACACTTTCGCGAAAGATTTTTATGTTCGGACAACGAACACATGATCGGATAACGAACACCCCACAGAACAAACACAAGAAGAAGCGACGTAAATTAATGAATACCGATTGGTCTTCCCTTGTCTTCGGGCAACAATTCGAAACTTTTCGGGGTGCGGGAGACGTCGACATCGACGCTCAAGCCGATATGTACCGATCGGATATTATTCCTCCGAATTTTGAAACTCTTCCTTGTAATTTCAGCCTTTTATTTTTCTGACAAAACAATTATTTTATGTATTCGTGAGACTGTCGGGTAGGCACTCGTTAAGTTTTGCGTCTGTTTTTCTTTTCGAAAGGTGAGAGTATAATAGCAAAGGTAGAGAGTGGGCAGAAGATGCCTAATGTTGCTGGGCAGTATGGCGTAAACAGGTCTACAGTAGGCTGAAGTTCAATCTTATTTAAGAAACATACTGTATAATCGAGAAGACTGAAGCAGCTAAAGGAGTAACAAAAATCACATCTGAGAAATAAAGAATATCNTTTGCGTTATTTTCACGGAACGTCCATTTTTTTGTAAAATATTTGTAATAATTTAATTTATGATACGCTTTAAACTATAAATTTTTTATTAATTAAATACCGGAGTGTTTTTTGAATAAAAATAACTTAAAATGATGATGGGAAATTGATTTTTGTTTTATATCTTAACGAGGAAGAAGAAGAGTAACGTGACACTAAGGGCAGTTGAAGTTATTTATTTATTTGTTCTACTCCGGAAATGTCATTTTTTGACTAATTTATTGACAATCAATTATTTATTTAGTTAGAAATCTCGTTTATAAGTTTAAAAACTGGGAAAAATGTATTTTGAAATCGATAGGTTTGTCAAGTTTAGTTAAATATCGATGATTAACTTAATTTTAAGTACGTTTCAAAAGTCTTCTATCAATACTTTTCTTATATAAATTAAGATAAATAGGAAGACGAAAACATTATTATTTTGCATCTTTATGGATTTCAGTTATAATTAACTTATTGGTTTTTAGCGTTTTTCCACGTTTCTCTTTACTCTTCCGCATCTATTTTTTCATCGCGATTCATACAAGTACAGTAGAAGTGTTTTAAATAGTAATACCGCCTTTCAATATCATCATCGTCGGCTGTAAATATTCACTACGGCGTATAAACCTCTCCTTTCTTTTGCCAATCTCGTCCATTGTTTTTCAAGTTTTCCATCGAGATCATTCCGTCGTGTTTCTGCTCTTCTTCTTTCCTTCTTCCGTTCTCTTACAATCCATTCAGTTACTCTCTTTGTCTACTGTTATCCTTTATTTCTTCAACGTGTTCCGCTCATCTTCATTTGTTCTTCCTTATTTTTATCACGATATCTTTAACTCTCGTCTTCTCTTATCCTTTCATTACTTTTCTCCTAATAAATTACTTCAATTTTATTAAATAGATTTTGGGCTTATCAGAATTTAGTTCAAACTTCTTTGCTTTATGAATTTTATAGGATAGACTACGTTCTTTCAAAGTATTTCACACGGTGGATTTCTTGAAATCTTTCCATCCCGCGGTGCTTCTAGTATGTTGCATTTGATTAATTATACAATAACACGGTATTTGTGCTCAAAAATACATTATAGAATTAATTAAAATAAATTTCGTGGAGGAAAATAGACTTTTCCACGAATATATTTGGATTTTCTTTCATTTCTTGCCTACCAGAGGATGAATAAAACCACCGAACGCGTGGATTCGCGCTCGATTAACGTGGCGTTTTCGGGATTTTCTTCGCCTGTCTAAAACCTAAATGTGGGCTACTTTTTATAGAAAGTGCTCCCGAGAAGTACCCCTTCTCTTCGCCCGTAATGGGATGAAGCAACGCCTTGCAATGCCTTATTCTAAAGGCGCAAGATAGACGATGCGTGCCCCAAAAGACCAATAAAAGGTATTTTTTTTATTGCGTTTTCATACTAGAAATGCGAATTTTCCTAAATTTCTGCGCTAGTATACACGCGTGCACCGACGTATGGAATTTCACAAAATTATGCCGAATCGGGCGAATCCTGACGAAAATTTTTGGGCACGCCGAAAGTTATAATAAGAATAATAGGCCTATCTTTAGCAGTAAACGATAGGCAGAAACGTTATTTGGCGTGAATAAAAAAATATGGACTATTATAAAGCCCATTATATCTACGCACGAAATATACGAAATATATTATAATGAAAAAGTATTAAAAATTTATGACAGTAATTCAATTTTTGAGGGCTCTCGACACTGGGGGCCCGGGGCTTAAGCCCTATCAGTCCCTACGTAGATCCGCCCCTGTACGCAATACACGTATGCTGACTGGGTACCGCGAGCTTTCGATACAATCTAGCCGCGTTAAATGCTTCCAATGACGTCGTGAGCGCGCACTTGTTTGCCGCGAAAAACTTTCACACCAGCCAGCGAGCGTGGCGCCGACTTAAAACGGCTAGCCGCTAACTGCCGATGTAAAAGCAAACACCAATGATAAAAGAGTTTACCCGTTAGAATAAATTATTATTGGCATAATTGTTCTCGTATAAAAATATATCGACAGTCGAAACTTTCTCTTACGCGCGGCGCAGACTAAGAGAGACCAGAGAATTCGGTAGAGTTGTAGCGCAACGGTAACACCGCTTACAAGATCGATCCCGCGCTGTAGTCCACGCGATTTGCGACACCTATTTTTAAAACGGGCCTTTTTTATTCTAAGGCAATAAGAGAGCCTTTTTAGCTTCCAGCTCATTACGGACCCAAAATGGGGCGTTCGGGCGGTGAGGGACGGGCCCAACATAGGTGAATTTGCGACTTTACGTATAGGCGTAGATAAGTCTCCCCCCGCGCCCGCGTGGATAAAACCACCGAACACCGGAAGTCGGTGGTGGGTTGGCGCCTGGCCAACGTGCTGCCTATATGAGTTTTCTTCGCGTTTGTAATTCTTAAATAGGGATCAGTTTACCATAGAAAGTCACACAAAACAAACAAAAGTAGATATTGCGCGTGTACCAGCATTTTACCATTATTTTTTCTCGTTCGTTATTATCGAAATCAAAACGTTTTCTGCCGGTTTACGTCCCAATCCACTACCACTGCACTATTCCATCAAACCATCACAAGTACAGACTGTTTCGTATATTTCGGCCTCGATTGGTGCTCTGAAAGTTTGGTAAATTTCGTGAGCCATCACGGAACGTAGAGTTACTTGGTAGAAAATGACATCAAACTATCTTATTCGTTGCCGATTGGCCGCGATATAGACGCTTATTTTCTCTAGACCGCTCACGCGCATTGCTAATAAATCGCTACGCAACTTTAATCAGACATTACGAACATAATGGCAAATCTTTAAAAATGTTCTTAATATTCGGGTTAAATTTTTTTAAAAAATTATCGTTAAACTTCACGACTTTTCACGCGTTACGAGCGTATTAAATTTTATAAAATATAACGCGACGCCATTAATAAAAACAATAGTGGAACGGGCTTTTTCGGTAATTGTTAACGAACCGACAATACAAATGCAGTCGTTCTCTGTTGGAACGAAGAGCCATTGTCAGATTTTTTCAACTTTTCGAGAAAAGTACCGAAATTTTGCCTGATTTTACAAAAAGTAATACAAAAAGAAGATATAAAATAAGAGAATAAACACGAAACGAAAGAGAGAAACGAAGAAGAAATATTTCGGCAACGAAAAACAAACGAAAGTATATTTAGGAAATTAACGCCAACAAACCGACAACAAATTACTGCGGTAGGAAGCCATTTCAAATGTTTTGTCTTGTATCGGCTAGTTGTGCGCCAGCTTCTAGGCTATATCTCACCGTGATAAAGTGCGACGTAATAGTTACGTAATAGTAGTTATACGCGTTTATCATGGTCGTTACGCGAAGAGTATTTTCTTCCGGGAGGTATTTTAAGGGTAACTGACCCCTATTCGAGCGTTACAGACGTGGAGAAAACCCGGAAAACTCCGTCCGGGCCCACGACCCAGCTCCGTGTTCGGGGAACGGAATCGCTCGGCCACTGGTGGGCTCGTTTCAAACGAATTCGTACTTCGCATTCACTTCCTCGTGGTGCGTTCTGCATTGTTTAAAAAAATAATTTACAAACGACGAGCGAAGAGCCGAGTATTAAATTTTGAATATTCTTCGTGAATAAATTCAACAATTAATATATTTAATTGTCGATTTTAATTTACATATCTTTTTAAACGTTTAAACTCTTTCCGCCCCGTGGGCACTAAGAAGGCCTCTTTTAGCCAGCCCATTACGGGTTTGGCCAGATCCACAATGGTACGGCCGGGTGGTGAGGGACGGGGGCCGACAAATCCGTACGGATCCCGGGTTCCCCGTCTCGACTGCTCGGCCATCCGGCCGTCCAGTTACACATTATTACATATAAAATAGGTTATGCAATATTTAATTGTACAATACCAAATTTTCAAACTAATATTCGAGTCTAAGAGTACACTAATGACTATTAACTCTGTTTTATAATATAATTTATCTAAAGTAACAATAAATAATTACTAAGAGGTCATATTACGTCATAAATATTGTCACTTAGAATTTGGGAAATGCTAAAGAATTACAATTAATTAAAATACAGTACTTATAAATAGGCTTACCGTACGTCCCGCTTTGACCGGGACTGTCCCGGTCGTTCGGTAAGATTTTAAAAGTGCCGAATGTACGAGAAGTAAAATTAGCGCAGCCTGGGATAAAATGGCGATTTGGCAACTAAACTATTCCCTCTGTAACACTCGTGTTGCCAATCTAAATATTTCGTATCTAAATTTGAGTACTTTTAATGTTCAGATGTTTTCCCCCAAAATTTATAGCTTGTGGCCGATTGAATTTAGAAGTTTTATTTTTTCATCCAGATATTTTTTCGCAGAATTTATATTAGCCTTTGAGATTCAAATATTTTTATTTCATTCTTTAGATATTGTTCCAATTAGAGTTGGCAACATTGAAACTTACGCTTTAACGTCGGTGTTGCGCATTTCCTATCTTAGTTCGATTCAAATTGGTAGTCGGCATTTCCGATTATTTTGTACTTTACATTAAATTAATTTAATCTCCAAAATGCCAGAAAGAAACTCATGAATTAAAAAGGATTATCCAGTTTTGAAGAAACATAAGGCAAGCCTAGTAGCGGCGGAAGGAACTTCCTCAAATGTGTTGTCATAGTTTAAAGGTATTTTCTCAAAATTGTTCCGGTTTGAGGAAAAAATATTATGGTAAGCCTATTTATAAATCTTAAAATTTTATTCGTGTTCGTACGATTAGTTATTTATCTCGATTCCGGGATGCCGCGAAATTTAGTGCTAAGCAGCGCCATAATACTTCCGTGTGTATTACTAAAAGTACGAAAACGCAATAATTCAAACGAAAAAGTAGGGGTGTTGCGAGAAATTACCGCGTGGGGGTGCCGCTGTTTGAAAAAGTTTGAAAAACACTGGATTATTAAATGGTTTTCTTATAATTTTATAGTTAATTGAAATTGAAACAGACTTTGAATACGGCTAAAGATACGATACACGTATGAAATTACAGTCGACCCCCCTGTAACCCGGGTTCCTATAGTTCGGATTCCTATATCACGGCGAAAAAATTGCGACCGTATTCGTACAAACATGCTAAAAAAACTCGTATAATTCGGTAAAACGTCATCGCCGACTCGTGTCGCGACGGGATTTGTCGAATCTGGACCAATAGCCGAAGTGTGGACGAGCACCCGAACTACTTACACTCTACGGAGAGTTTAGGCGGGTAAGTTGAGTTTATTATCGTCTGTACAATATATAAATTAGGTACTGCAAGTCTAATACAGTTCTGTAATTTTATACATTTTTTGTGAAAAAAAAACATTTCTTATTCAACGGCCATAAAAATTATTTCTATTAATGATGTCTCCAAAGTTCAGCGAATTTTTCGCAGAAAAATAACTTATCGGAAAACTTTCGTCATTGCTTAAGCTTGTTTTCCCAAAAACATGCGTATTTTGGAAATGTTGAGTCGAATTAGTCTAGAATTGATTAATTTTATGGAAGAAACCTTTCAAACTGCATACGTGCCGGGCTGTGATTGGCTGGACTCGTAGAAAATGGATTCATATAAACCGGAACGTATCTACCGTGTTATAGGTGGGTGGACTGTAATACTACTTTCGCACAATCCACGACTCGTTTCGATCTCGATTGTGACTGTCGCTAGTCGAACGTCGTGCCATTCGCACAGGCAGTTCGCTCGAGAAGAACCTGGCTATTACACGCGATCATAAAACTGACGTAACTACGCGGTAAGTCACCAACACCAACAAACAAAATGGAAGTTTTGGTTAGAAATAAATACCTTTTATTGCCATACATATAATAATAGATAGATGTCGTCGTCTCTCCAGATGTCTTTTTTATTTCTCTGTCGATAGCCCGACACGTGTTCTGCAGCCATCTTGTATTTTCTCGCGCGCGGGATTGTGGGATCTCTCTTATGACTGGATCTAGTTTCGAGAACTCTCTCCAGTCGAGATTGAAACGGTCGAGAGCGTTCGCACCACGGAACAGTCTCCGACCTTAGTCACAATCTAGATCGAAATGCTCGGTGCGAACGGGGTATAAAGCTCTTATCACGCAGATGATACCGTTGACAAAGATACAACGGGACAAACGTGTCGTGCGCTCGCGCGCCATCCAGCATTTTACCGTTATTGTTTTTATTTTTCTTTAGTAATTTTTGACCTTTTGCATTATTTTTTAACATTACTAAATCTAAATAAAATAAAATTACCGATCAGTTCTATTTTTTGTGGATTCAACGTTAAGCGTTTATTACAATGTCGTCACTGTTAAACATTGTTGAGCGTTATAAACAAGTTAATAGAAACGAGCAATTATTTATTGTGACGTCGTATATTAAAAATTTCCCGGCTGCAATTTTTAATTTATTTAATTTAAACTATAAGCGGTCGTCTCAAATCGTCGGCGGCCGGATGGCCGAGCGGTTAAAATGGCGGCCTACAAAAAAAAACAAACCTCAAATTATTAGTAGTGACTTAGCCCCTTTTTGTTTTAAATATATCGATATAGTACTATATAGTTCGTACTGTATTTTTGAGAGCAGAACCTCTATAACACGAGTCCGATTTACGACTACTCAACGACGGGTTTTTCAGAAACCAGTTTGGTTGTAAGAGCTGGTTTTAATTGTCAAAACAATAGATTAATCGATAACCAGTATAGCATCGATGGTCGGGTCTGGTTGCCAGGGATCAAATTTGAAGTTTTCGCGAGTGGTCTGTCCCGGATCTCGACACCCGGAAAATCCACAATGGGTATGGTAAAAAAGGCTTTCTTGGTGCCCACGGGAGGAAAAAATTAAAAAATAAATACCAGTACAAGAAGATAGAACAAGTCAATTTCTTGTATTCCTCGAACAAATTAATTTTGTTATTAAATACAGATAATGGCGTGTAAAATACTTTATAACTTGTATTTATGAATATCCTTTATATAAGAATTTCAGCAATTTAAAAAATTTTTGCATAACGAAAGTCGGTTCACACGAGCGACAAATTTAAGTCGACAATCGGCGTCAACGAACGAGACAATTGAACGAATACGTCACTCCTGGTGTTAATTTTTGTTGTCCGCGCGAATCGGTCTTGTCAAAATAGTTTCCTCCATTTTCTTCAAATTAGGATTGTTCTCGACAATGCGGCCAGAACAACGTGACGTTCTACCACGTATTTAAACTTTAAATTTATGTGTGGTAATCAGAGAATTAATTCTTCATTAATGAAAATGTATTATTCAATCTTAATTAAAAGTGGAATTTTTAAAAGTAATTGATTAATTCTTAATTAAAGTTTAATGCAAATGAACCATTCTAATAATTAAATATAAATTACATTTTATTCAGCATTTCAAAATTTTGTTTAAAAAGATTTAATTTTTAAAGAGATTTTACAATATTAATCACATAAATTTTCTTGTTTGATTGCATTTTAACTTTATATGTACAGTAAAACCTGTGTAAACCGGAATTACCTATTAGGCAAGTTTTCGTTTTGGGCAGGTTTTACTGTATATTTCTTAATTATTTTTAAATGAACGTATTGAATATTTTATGTAAATTAAATAATGCTATTTAATGTAAAACTATTATATTATATGAAACTATAAATATTGAATACGATTAAGACTTTTCACTAAATTTACTTATTTCAGCAATTCTTTTTATACTTTGGCATAATCCTAAATGTTCGAGAGGTTATCTATAGACTCCTTTTTATCATTATTATTATTATTATTTTAGCTGGTCCGTAACTAAAATTATATAGAACTTAAGCACGAGATTGAACAAAGATATAGACTTAGTTTAGTAAAAAAAATATACGTTATTGGATACTTCAATTCAGGTTTAGTGTATTTTTCGTGCCGAAACATTAGCTTTTCTAGCAAGCGGCTAGAGAGTTAAAGTGAGAATTTTAACTTGGAGCCTTATAAATCCTTCTTTTAACTGTTAATGAAAACAGAATCGTGTTTTAAGCTCTATAATAAAATTTTATAAAGCATTTAATAATTATGTACGGAAGAATCGCTCTCTAATATTACACCTATAGATCGAGAGGAGGGTTTGTTCTATGGATGCCTTCTCGGAATAATGCTTTTAAATGTATAAAATAATATATATACAGTAAAACCTATGTAAACCGGAATCGCACGGTACCGAACATTTTTCCGGTTTCCGTTTCGAACAGGTTTTACTGTATATGCGCCTCTTCCCTAACACGATACTAAACAATTTCAAACAATAAAATTAAGATAATAAATTGATTTTTATCCTTTCAAGTCCACGGACCCCTGGTTAAGAATCACGCTACAGCAGATAATTAAAATGAAGATTTCAAATCTTTTATTTTCATTATAGAAGTAGAAATTGTGTATTGGTTGAGGATTATACAAATAAAATTATATTCATTTATTCTATAAAATTCGAATAACTTTTTCTTCTTGATAAGAGCGTCTTTAAATAAATACAGATCTTATGCCAGACAGGGCACAATTTAGATTTATTGTGGGCCTAAGCTATAAGATATAGGAGGAGGCCTACGAGGCCCTAATCTGCCGCTTGTTTAGCTTCTATGTATAAATTCGGGCCTCTTCTAGATAATTAAAAATATCATTTTCTACAAAATTATTGAATAAAATATTAGATAAAATCTATAATATTTGTGACACGAACTTAAAAATTATATTTTACATACGTTTCTTTGTTGTGGAAACGTGAATAACAATGCGAATTAATAATCAGCGAGGAATATAATAATAAAATATTATTTTATTTTACAAAATAATATAATCTGTTAATAAAGATACATTTACTCAAGTATTTATTCAATTGTGAATTAAATTAATAATAAATATAAATTATTTATTATTTCCAAATACACGAAATTTCGTTATTTCTTTGGTAACATTTACAATCGAAATGCGTTATTGCTGTTAATGTCCGCAGGAATTGCCACTGCTAGCGGCAGTTAAGTTAATGTAACACGGGAGAGTGAAAGCATCTGGTTTAAAGATGTCGTTAAGTGCCGAATAACTAGAAATAACTCCTGCAACAATTCCAATAAGCATCACTTCTATTAAATATACTCTTTCGTGCAGTGAGATGGTCCTAGAAGGAGTAATTTATTTATATTAATTTTTAAATAAATTCTTAATTGTGGGTGTGGGGGAGACAAAGCTTGCGGTAAATAATTACAGTACTATATTTATATTTAATTACTTCACAAATAGATCATGGAATACAATATTGCATCCAAGCATCCAGGGTGTAAGGAATCTAAAAAAACACTTGTACTATTATAATTTGTGGAATTTTTTACTTGATCCCAGGGTGGGGCGATTACCCCGTTCCACCTCTGCAGACCCTCGTGCTCTTAATTAAGCTGCATTTTATCACGTTAATCTTAATGGCACTCGGTAATGTTTAATGTAACTTTACGTATATCAGTTTCGTGGTCTTCGTAAAGCGTTCGTGACAGATGTTCGTAATAAAGTGACACAATGTAATGCGTCAAATTATAAAGTATTTTAATTACAATTACCTGTAATTATCTCGTTATCATCGTAAGAAATTGTTTAGTGAAAAAAAATTAAAATTTATTTACATAAAAATACAAAAAAAAACCAAAGGATTTCTAAAGATTTGAAGACCTGTAAGAAGAATTGAAAACAAGTCTTCCATTTCATCCCGTAAATAAATTTTATAAAAGTATAATATCAAACTTCCACAAGCAAAAGAAATTTATATAATTAAAAGCGGAAGTGTGATGATATTTTGTATTTAAATTAGAAACAGAGTAAATAAAACAAGAATTAAGCGTCAAGAGTGTCAAATTAGAAGCTTCTGTTACCTTATTTATATAATAAATACAAGATTTATATTTTAAATACAGTGGGTGATCGGTTAACGAACAGATCGCATAACGAACAAATCGGATAACGAACACTTTCGCGAAAGATTTTTATGTTCGGACAACGAACACATGATCGGATAACGAACACCCCACAGAACAAACACAAGAAGAAGCGACGTAAATTAATGAATACCGATTGGTCTTCCCTTGTCTTCGGGCAACAATTCGAAACTTTTCGGGGTGCGGGAGACGTCGACATCGACGCTCAAGCCGATATGTACCGATCGGATATTATTCCTCCGAATTTTGAAACTCTTCCTTGTAATTTCAGCCTTTTATTTTTCTGACAAAACAATTATTTTATGTATTCGTGAGACTGTCGGGTAGGCACTCGTTAAGTTTTGCGTCTGTTTTTCTTTTCGAAAGGTGAGAGTATAATAGCAAAGGTAGAGAGTGGGCAGAAGATGCCTAATGTTGCTGGGCAGTATGGCGTAAACAGGTCTACAGTAGGCTGAAGTTCAATCTTATTTAAGAAACATACTGTATAATCGAGAAGACTCAAGCAGCTAAAGGAGTAACAAAAATCACATCTGAGAAATAAAGAATATCGAACAGTTCATAATGGAACACGAAATGGATCTGACGACAGAAGAACGCCAAGAACTCTTGAATGAAGAACACCAAGAAACTCGGCGAGATATGTTTTCTTCTGAAAAAGAGGATTAATGCCGATATCTTATATTAAAGATCCTTTGAAGAAGTGGGAGGATGTCAGAACAATTGTTTTAGAATGGCATCCAAACCAGGTTAAGGCTTGGGGATTTCTGCAATTGCAATGCTATTAATTACTTACGAAAAATCCTGAAAAAGAGAGAAAAGCAATAGACATTAGACAGATTCTTTAACCCTTTCAAACAGAAAAAAAAACACGACTAATAAAAACGCAAGACTATGTATGTATGTATTTTCATTATCATCAACACATATAAATAAAGGTAGTAAGAAAGTATATATTTTTTTATTTTGGGGGATCTCCAGAACCAATTAATCAAATTCCCATAGAAACCTATGGTAAATCGATAATCGGTTAACGAACAATTCGGATAGCGAACAAAGTCTTGGAACGGATTATGTTCGTTAACCGATCACCCACTGTACTGTATGTACTGTATACTGTATATCGTATATTACTAAATATACCGCATATAATAAAATGAACATTGCCAAAATAAAAAATATTAATAATTGAAATATCGAATTTACATTCATTGGTATAGTCAATTCAAAATCCGTTCAAATTAAAAAAATACGGGGAGATTCAAAAAGCGTGTGGAATTTTAATGAGAAGACTTACAGAATGGGTTGAGGCGTCAGCTTGTGTGCATGCACGTCCATAGAGGGGAGCAAACGTGGCACTCGACTTCACCCGTAGAATAGAGTAAAAATTCCACAAATAATAATCGTAAAAGTGATTGAGATAGGTAACATTACACCCTCGACCACGGAACACTTTGTTTTTTGGATTTTGTCTGTTGTTGCTTTATTGTATTGATGCAATACTGTAATATATTCTACAATCTAATTGTGAAAACACCCCCAAAAATGAAATAACATAATTAAATAAAAATTTATTGATATAATACTTGTCTCCAAGCTTTGCCCCCTGAAATTTTCTCGGGGAACGCCCACGTGATATGAATTTTGTATATATATGTATATACGGTATTACATTTATATTTACCTTTTTGGCCATTTTGGATGTCTTTGATCGCAGAGGCGCATATAAAATATTGGTGGAAAGACAAAAGTCATCAATGTTACCGTAGAACCACCTACAAAATTTAGAATTTTTCCAAAATGAGGGATACTCTCAGCAATGAAAACAACAACGCCCATTACAGAAGTTCTCAATACAATTCTTTTCCAATTAAAAGCTGAAATTTAAAATATATACATATATATTTAAACAATAATTTCTGATTTATGGATATTATGGCTTAAATGACATTATGGTTAAAGAAGAAGTTACGTACATCGAGGAACTTTAAAGAACTCTTCCAATTCTTGGGCAGGTGGATTTACAACGATGAGAAACGCAAAAAACAAATGAGCGGCTAATAATATTTCTACAGTCATTTTCAATGGATTATCTTCTAAAGATAATAAAATATCAGGATGAACCGATGATCCGAATACGTGATATCCACAAGCAGAAACGGGTATATACAAAAGTAACAGTACTAAAAAATATACACACACATATATAATTTATATATTAACTTAAATTATATTACTTGAAAAACTAAACTAAATATTATAAATTTACATTCTTACTTGAAAATGCAACCAATACGCATTTCGGAAATAATTCTTTCTTTTCCATGTCGTTCTGAAATGTTGGAAAGGTGGAAGCTCCGCCAAATGCAAATGCCACAGTACCAAAGCCTAAGAAGAATGATTCCAAGGTGGCAATTTTATATTTTGGTGGTTGCACTTTGGATTTTTCGGATAAAATATTTATGATCAAAAGAACGCAAGCGATGGCTGTTGAAGCGAATGCTCCAACTGCGGCTGGCCTAAAATTAATGTAAAAAAATCAATTAATGGAAAAAATATGTAATCTAAAATCCACATCAACTTCATTTCTTACCAGAAATCACTAGGCGTACCCAGCCACATCAATGGACATAAAATTGCAGCAATGATTAGAATCCAAAAACAGAAGGATAAGTCGTATAATGAGCAAACTAATTGTTGAACCAGTTGAGAACACAAGAGAAGAAAGACCGTGCTAACTCCTATAAGCGTAAAGTCTACGCAGAAGGATACAACATACCTGAAATGATACAACGTGCCAAAAATGCCCATTAAAGTACAGTTTTCGAATCTTTCGATAAGAATTTCAGGTTGCACTTAAGTAATTAGCTACATATTGTCAATTTTTTCATATTATTTAATATATTCGTCCTTGTAAAACAAGAAAAATCGCGATCAAGCCAAAATAAGATCCACAGTCGAACTTCATCGAGGGCCAAAACATTAATATACAGGTAGAATAGCTCTTGGCTCTTTAAAAAGATAAATAAATAAACAAAAGAATTAGTTAGTTTACAATTATATAAATTAACACGCGTCAATGTGATAGTCTTTTGCACCGATAGTTTCTTAAAACCATCGGGGCAAAACTCAAAGTCGAATATACAGTACAATTATATTTTATTAATGGAATTTGTAAAACGTTCGTCTTGGAATAAAATTATCTTTATTAATTAAAAGTGCGATGGAAAGTCAGTAATTAGGTTACAAACAAATTAACAAAATTTCTAACAAGAAAAATGAATGTTCTAATAGAATCCCCTTAGACAATTAGGCATTTGTCCGAACCGTCTACTAACTTCTGAAAACGTGTCGCACCAAAATCAATTGATTGCTGTTGGAATCACCGCAATACGTGTTCCCGAATCTGTTTATCACTTTAAAAAACCTTCAAGTTTTCTTTTAAAGATTCGAAAGGATGATCACAATGTTTTAGTCAAGCACTTGTTCACACGTTTGGTTTGGTTCTTGCTTACGTGGGCGATCTGCCGAGGAAGATGCCTCCCGGGAAAACTGGCCCCAATCTAGGTGTTACAAACGTGAAGAAAACCCAGAAAATTCCACACGGCCAGCCCGTTGGTCAGGCGCCAACTTGCGGTGTTCAGTTGGTATTATTCTGTCGAGGACTGGTGGGCCCATACGCTGAGACAAGTGGTTAAATAAATGTTTATAGAGAATTTGTTAAAAATGACGTTCTATTTTGGAATTTTTTTTACTTAATTTTGGTAAATGTTTGTTTGTAACCTAATTACTGATTTTTCCTTGTATATTTTTATTTTAAATTTTTTCATACAGCATAAAATTCTTATTTTTGCTTTAAGGCATACTCTTACAACCGAAACGTTTACCTCATACATGTGCACGTAGCTCGATACGCTATTGCGGGATATGGATATCGCATTCTCATTCTATATTCGGGCCACCTTTCTTCCAAGATTAACCAACACCGTCCTAAACATACTCCCGCATAACCGGCATTCACGCAGCATACAATGATAATCAGAATTCCAATCCATCCTGATAAATATTTATTTAAATAATTAATAAACGTTTTATATTAAGTTATTTTAAATTTTTCATCACAATTATACTTATTGACTATCTAAAACTTAGAAATAATTTGTGCTAGATTCTGGCTATAAAGTTAATTTATTTACTAATAAACACGCGAATATGTATTAGAAGCGCTGTCTAGTGACTAAATTAGAAATTATTCTTGCAATTTTTTTATTGAAAGCGCCGATTAAATAATAGAATATATTAAATTGAATTCATTAAATTGTTGTTATTTTAATAATTGGTCTAAGAATAATAATAATCAAAAAAATTATTCAACTAATTTACTAAATAAATGTTTGCATAATTAAAATTAAACAATATATTCGTAATTATATCAATTTATAAATGCATTTGTAATGAAAATTGATTGTACTGTACTTTAAATCTAATCGTGGCAGATAAATAAATGAATTGTAATTTATAGTAAATATATCTTCCGGTAATAATCTTAATTTTCTATTCTTCCGGACATCTTTTTTTTAAACTCTTTCCGCCCTGCGGGCACTAAGAGGGCCTCTTTTGGCCATCCCATTATGGATTCGGCCAGGCACACAATGGGGCGGCCGGGTGGTGAGGAACGGGATCCGGCATATCCGTACGGCCACCCCCGAAAAATTCTCGGGATTTTTCGACCCGTCCGCCCAGGGCGGTAGGCTGCCATCTTGACTGCTCGGCCATCCGGCCGTCTCTTCCAGATATCGAGAAGACCTTTGTAACATGTCCTCTCGTTGAGGATTCTGTTTTGATCTCGCGCTCGCTAAGAGGACCTTTTAAATATATCTATAATATAACTTATAATGAGTTCGACTAGATTCCCGTTGTTAGCTCGGGAGTGAGGGGCGGGTTCTACATATCAGTTCCGTAATCAAAAATAAATCATTGGAGGCTGGAGGAGAAAGCTGAAAAAATTAACTGCTATTCTTCTCTTTTCTACTGATGAAAAACTTCCGAAGTTCTAAAATCCAGATTCGCCAGAGTACCCAGCGGACGTTTTTACCAGACACGAAGACGAGGACCCCGAATGCCAGGTCGAGTAGTCTTTAGTAAAGAAGCGGCCCGACAAATCCGAGCCAGACCGTAAAATTTCCGCCAATCCGACTAGGACTCGAATCCAAATTTCTCACAGAGATATTTTAATCAGTTTTAATCAGTTTTAAGGATTATTAGGAACCACCTTTGGCGTTATTACTTGTACAGAAATTATAATTATTACTTTTAAAACTAGTAAAAATTAAATTATGAGAAATGCTAAAAATCTTAATTTAGTTTTAATTTTATATCAAAATATTTATATTCTCGAGTCGAAATAGAGTAAGTGCCGGCAGAGTCACGAGAAGGCCCTAGAATTTAATCTTTAATACAAAAGCGTAACATAGAAACGATATAAATTGAACGAAAACCCTTGTTTTTACTTTGCTTACTAATGTTATGGCTTTCGGAGGCTCTGTATTTGTGACTGGGCAGCCTCAATCTCTTCTCTCATACCTAGTAATACAAAATACAAGTCAAAGTAAAACTTTAATAAGTATACTATGCCCCGACCGGACGTCGTCTCGCCATCCGGCTTAGATATTATACAGTACATGTAGAGTATAGTAATAATCTTCTTATGAATAATCATATATTAGGAATAAGAATTAAAATAATTACATGTATATGTAGTATAACGTATTGTTTTTGTCGATATAATAGATGTGTAAGACATGTATAAAACCGGGTACACACATACGGTATACCGGATGGGCGCGCCTGTTCAGATATACCTGCCAGGTATAACGGCACCCGTGTACTAGGCTTAATACCGTTACTGTGTTAATCAATATATAAAAAATGATGTAAAAATACAAATCTTTAATGAAATATGCATTTATTTTCGGTATTTTATTCATTCTTACATACGCCTGATCACGAGCGTAAGAGTCGGGGAGTAAGTAGGAAACTGTCCCCAAATTCGAGCAAAACTGGGGAAAATTCGGGGGTAAAAAAAATCAAAATCTCCCCTCCCTTCTTCGAACGTCAACAAAACTCGACCCCGCAATATGTTTATCACTTAATGAATAATAAAATGTACGAAGTGTGTAAAATTTATGAAATAAAACGTACGGTACGTGCATTGAAGTTCAACCTCTCCCCACCCCCTTGTCCGACTTATCATCAATGTTCCCTCTAATTTTTTTGTAGATGAGCGGAACATATACTTCTCTGAGCAAAAAATATTTTGCTGAGCAGATTCTAAGCAAAAAATTTTTTCNATATATAAATTAGGTATTGCAAGTCTAATACAGTTCTGTAATTTTATACATTTTTTGTGAAAAAAAAACATTTCTTATTCAACGGCCATAAAAATTATTTCTATTAATGATGTCTCCAAAGTTCAGCGAATTTTTCGCAGAAAAATAACTTATCGGAAAACTTTCGTCATTGCTTAAGCTTGTTTTCCCAAAAACATGCGTATTTTGGAAATGTTGAGTCGAATTAGTCTAGAATTGATTAATTTTATGGAAGAAACCTTTCAAACTGCATACGTGCCGGGCTGTGATTGGCTGGACTCGTAGAAAATGGATTCATATAAACCGGAACGTATCTACCGTGTTATAGGTGGGTGGACTGTAATACTACTTTCGCACAATCCACGACTCGTTTCGATCTCGATTGTGACTGTCGCTAGTCGAACGTCGTGCCATTCGCACAGGCAGTTCGCTCGAGAAGAACCTGGCTATTACACGCGATCATAAAACTGACGTAACTACGCGGTAAGTCACCAACACCAACAAACAAAATGGAAGTTTTGGTTAGAAATAAATACCTTTTATTGCCATACATATAATAATAGATAGATGTCGTCGTCTCTCCAGATGTCTTTTTTATTTCTCTGTCGATAGCCCGACACGTGTTCTGCAGCCATCTTGTATTTTCTCGCGCGCGGGATTGTGGGATCTCTCTTATGACTGGATCTAGTTTCGAGAACTCTCTCCAGTCAATCGCGATATAGCCTCGTTTCAGTCGAGATTGAAACGGTCGAGAGCGTTCGCACCACGGAACAGTCTCCGACCTTAGTCACAATCTAGATCGAAATGCTCGGTGCGAACGGGGTATAAAGCTCTTATCACGCAGATGATACCGTTGACAAAGATACAACGGGACAAACGTGTCGTGCGCTCGCGCGCCATCCAGCATTTTACCGTTATTGTTTTTATTTTTCTTTAGTAATTTTTGACCTTTTGCATTATTTTTTAACATTACTAAATCTAAATAAAATAAAATTACCGATCAGTTCTATTTTTTGTGGATTCAACGTTAAGCGTTTATTACAATGTCGTCACTGTTAAACATTGTTGAGCGTTATAAACAAGTTAATAGAAACGAGCAATTATTTATTGTGACGTCGTATATTAAAAATTTCCCGGCTGCAATTTTTAATTTATTTAATTTAAACTATAAGCGGTCGTCTCAAATCGTCGGCGGCCGGATGGCCGAGCGGTTAAAATGGCGGCCTACAAAAAAAAACAAACCTCAAATTATTAGTAGTGACTTAGCCCCTTTTTGTTTTAAATATATCGATATAGTACTATATAGTTCGTACTGTATTTTTGAGAACAGAACCTCTATAACACGAGTCCGATTTACGACTACTCAACGACGGGTTTTTCAGAAACCAGTTTGGTTGTAAGAGCTGGTTTTAATTGTCAAAACAATAGATTAATCGATAACCAGTATAGCATCGATGGTCGGGTCTGGTTGCCAGGGATCAAATTTGAAGTTTTCGCGAGTGGTCTGTCCCGGATCTCGACACCCGGAAAATCCACAATGGGTATGGTAAAAAAGGCTTTCTTGGTGCCCACGGGAGGAAAAAATTAAAAAATAAATACCAGTACAAGAAGATAGAACAAGTCAATTTCTTGTATTCCTCGAACAAATTAATTTTGTTATTAAATACAGATAATGGCGTGTAAAATACTTTATAACTTGTATTTATGAATATCCTTTATATAAGAATTTCAGCAATTTAAAAAATTTTTGCATAACGAAAGTCGGTTCACACGAGCGACAAATTTAAGTCGACAATCGGCGTCAACGAACGAGACAATTGAACGAATACGTCACTCCTGGTGTTAATTTTTGTTGTCCGCGCGAATCGGTCTTGTCAAAATAGTTTCCTCCATTTTCTTCAAATTAGGATTGTTCTCGACAATGCGGCCAGAACAACGTGACGTTCTACCACGTATTTAAACTTTAAATTTATGTGTGGTAATCAGAGAATTAATTCTTCATTAATGAAAATGTATTATTCAATCTTAATTAAAAGTGGAATTTTTAAAAGTAATTGATTAATTCTTAATTAAAGTTTAATGCAAATGAACCATTCTAATAATTAAATATAAATTACATTTTATTCAGCATTTCAAAATTTTGTTTAAAAAGATTTAATTTTTAAAGAGATTTTACAATATTAATCACATAAATTTTCTTGTTTGATTGCATTTTAACTTTATATGTACAGTAAAACCTGTGTAAACCGGAATTACCTATTAGGCAAGTTTTCGTTTTGGGCAGGTTTTACTGTATATTTCTTAATTATTTTTAAATGAACGTATTGAATATTTTATGTAAATTAAATAATGCTATTTAATGTAAAACTATTATATTATATGAAACTATAAATATTGAATACGATTAAGACTTTTCACTAAATTTACTTATTTCAGCAATTCTTTTTATACTTTGGCATAATCCTAAATGTTCGAGAGGTTATCTATAGACTCCTTTTTATCATTATTATTATTATTATTTTAGCTGGTCCGTAACTAAAATTATATAGAACTTAAGCACGAGATTGAACAAAGATATAGACTTAGTTTAGTAAAAAAAATATACGTTATTGGATACTTCAATTCAGGTTTAGTGTATTTTTCGTGCCGAAACATTAGCTTTTCTAGCAAGCGGCTAGAGAGTTAAAG